TCCTCAAAACTAATGAACTTCTTGAACAGCGTTTTCATTTTTCTTACTGGGAGAGTCTGGGCAACGGCTCGTTCCAATATTTTTCTACAAGTACAAAAGTATATTATATTCAACGATCACATATTTACACAGAATAAATATATAACGCCGAGATACGCACCTGGCTATATCGAAATCCTCGGTTTTTACCAAGCAATCTACATAAGAAGACCACACGTCGACGCGCTTAGGATAGGAGCTCAGGATCTGCTCGAATAATGTCTGCGATCGCTCCTTGTCTCCTAGTTTGTTCTCTAAATTCGCGAATCTCACTATCAAGTTTACATCTGCAGAGAAAATGCAAACCATGAAAGACTCAAGTTATGTCATATTGAGAATATAATTTGTTGATCTGAGAATAAAAAATAATATTCTAATAAAAATAATATCCTATTATATTATACCAAAACTGGAAAAGTTACTTTTCAAGTAACTCGTTATCGTTGCTCATTTCGGAAAAAACTCCTTATTGTTATCATTATTCGAAAAGCAACAAATCGTTAGTTTCTGTATATATACTTGTACACATGCAAAGTAACAATGAGAGAGTAACCAGATAAGCATTACCCAAAAATATGATTATGTTATTGTAACATTATTGTAATGAGGAAAAATAAAGCCATTATATCATAATGCAACTTTATGTCTTGATACTTATTAACTTTATGTAATGCAACGTGCACTCACGCTGAGACGTAGGCAAAGATTGCAATGCTCTTTGCATGGTATACCGGGACTTCTCTTTCAGTCCAATTTTCAGGAACGCTGTACCGCAGTCCACCCATGTCTCAGGGTTTTGCTTGAATTTGCCAGTCATAATGGTGACCAACTTTTCCAGCTCGGCCTGCCTACCGGCATCCACATGCACGTTCAGCATATGCGTGTACACCTTCGAAGCGTCGTTTGCCTTCACCGCCTCCTGGAACACGTCGTTCAGGGACTCAGACGTGCCGTATCTGGACTCCAAATTGAGCCAAGCGCTCCACAGGTTCAGACGCTCGTTTTCTTCACGGAAGTTAATTGTCTTGATACCCCGTCTCGCGACCGACCTCGCTTTGTCGATCTCTGTGGCTTGCAAATGGTACGCCATATATTGCAGCCACACCAACGAGCTGTCCGGACTGGACAGAACCAATTTGTCAAATTGGTCGATGGAGTTGGGCACTTGATTGCTCGCTGAAGCCTCTTCCCGCTGGCGAATCTCGCGTTCCTTCCGCCGTTCCTGTTCCCGACGTTCGGCTGCGCTCAGCTTCTTCTTCTTTCGCTTCAGCTCGTCCGTGGTCTTCTCTTCATCATCGCTGGACGTCTCGCTGACAGCTACTACAGCCGAGCTTGTTTTATTGTCCCAGTTAAACCCGCATTCTGGAATATGTGATTTTTTTGGGGTCGGCAACTTGTGTTCAGCATCGCTTTCGTCGGAAGAGTGGATGAGTCCGCTGGTCTCACTTTTCTTTAGACAGGCTGTTTTATCGATTTTACTTTTGAGTTTTCTATCGCTGCCAACACCATCATCAGTCGTCGTTTCTCTCTTTGGTTTCTTAAGCATCACGCTCGTTGAGGCACTATCTTGTTGCGCGGGAATTTTTCTCTTCAATTTTTTATTCGCGCTAGACAATGGCTGTGTGTCTTTTTTGGGAGTCTCGAACGCAGATTTCAGCATACCAATCGGAACGATGCCGCACTCATTTCTCGCCATTAACAACGTAAAATCGGATCTTGACGTGCGCTATGTAAAACATCAAGTTAGGAGAGAGATCGTTCATGTGTCGAAGGACCGGAAAAAATATTATATTAGTTTTAAATACAAAAATCTATAAACGGTTATTAATTTAACATCTTAAATCACATAAAATAAGAACATGTAAAACAAGAATAAGTTTCTTAAATACATACCACATTTGAAGATTTCTTAACTTCAAGTTTCTTTCCTCCTCTAGGAAAGCTTTTCAATGTCATCTAAAAGTATTTTAAGTAATAATAAGATATTAATTAGAAAATAATATTAATATAGGTTAGGTTGTAATAAATTTGGGTAAATATGCAGTATAACGCCCCTATCATGCATTTTTTTTCAAACTTTGTAAATTTGTATATTTTTATGCATAGAATTGATTTCTGAAAACGAAAATTGTCGCTCACTTTTCGTTTTCTTGTTTTTTTATTTTTATGTTTTATGATGTTGGTAAGTAGGAAAGGCAAAGAATAGTTCATACATGCTTTTCTCTGCTCTAA